CACAGTTTTTGAGAGCATCCTTAGGCTTGACTTTCAATTCCTTCGGAAAAATATTAGAAACTATCTTTTTTTAATGGTCTCCTTCTTACCCTTTTCCCAGTCCCATTCTCCAGCAAAATATCTGATTCAGGACTCTGGAGTTGGGGGTGGGAACAATGGCAGGCTCCTCTCTGAATGATACCCCCACTCTAGGAGCTGAATAGTTGGCGGATAAGTAGGGCAGCCAGAGGTCCTCCCAGCTTGCATCTTCTGACATGGAAGCAGCACCTCACAAGTCAAGGAAAGAATGACTAGGGAGAGTCCTTTCAGTATTCTGTGCCCAAAGTAGACCCTCCAATCCACCAGAAAGCTGACCTCTTAATCACACTCATCTGGAACTGAGTCTTGGCAATGGGATCTGTGGACAGGATAAGAAACATTGCCAACCTGCTCCTCTGGAGAAGAAAGACTTCCATGTGCTCAGAGGGTTGGGAAAAGGAGCCCTTGTCCTTAGTTGCAGAATTCTGGAATGGAGTCTCCACCCTACTTAACTAAGAGTGAGTCGGAAGGAAGCAGTCTTAGTTCAAATACCACAAACTGTCACCATTCTTACCAAATTTTCATATGTTTTCTTGAAGAGCCAACTTTCCCTTTGCTATTTTCCCCCCTTAGGATCATTTCCAGAAGCCTTAAATTGTTGAGTTTTTTAACAGTCTTTCACCAGTTTCACTGAGTAAGTGGGTCAGTAGAGCTCCTCATGCTGTCGTGCCAGAAGCTGATCTTACTCTGGGTAGTTTTGAGTATGTAGCTATTATTAATACTATCTTTGTGTTAATAACAAAGAACTTCTGGCATGCTCTCTTCATTGTGATATCATTGACTCAGAATGAAGTCTTGAAATCCTAGCCCCCAATACCTTTGAATGTGACCTCATTTAAAAAAGGGCCTTTGCAGAGATAACCAAGTTAAGATGAGAGTATACTTGGTGAGTGTGGGCCTAATCCAATGACTAAAGTCCTTATAAAAAAGAGGAAAATGTAGACACAGATGGACACAGAGTAAGAGTCCATGTGACCCCATAGGACTACAAACCAAGGAACACCAGTGATGCTGGAAGATCAAGGAAGAACATTCCTTAGGGCTTTCAGAGATAGCACGACCCTGTTGACATCTTGATTTCAGACTTCTAGCCTCTAGAAACGTGAAACAACAGACACACAGGCCACTTGGTAGCATTGTCCAGCAGAGAGCTTCTTCGAAAGGAGTTTCAAAATAACCACCTGGAAGGATCACTTCTTTTTTGTTTCCATTTAACATCATTCCTTTTCCTTTTTTTTGCTTCAGAATCTGGTTCCATGGGGAGACTGCATTTCTTTAAATTATTCTTTCAGCTACTTCTTAAGTTTGGAAAATTCTTGGTTTCTAGAAAGTTGTTTTTAAAGGTACATTTTAACCACTATACTCCCCAAAATTTACAATAACCCCATATTACTGCTTAACAAGGCAATAATTGGTCCTCAAATTGGCATTTCCTCCAAGGCCTCTATTCAGATTTTCTTCTCTTTGGTGACTGGTTATTGCCTATAAAGCAGCCCAGCAGTACTGACAGTTTAAAGGAAGGGCCATCCAGAAATCTGACTAACCAACTCCTTTACCCACAGATTTGGCATATTTTTATTCTTGGAAACAGCATATAAAACACACTGCTTGCAACATTTATATTTTTCTAACACCTAATAATTTACTCTTTTATGGTGTAAAATCTGTTTCTACGGATCTTTTCTCAATTTATTTCTTATATCTTTCTGTGTCTCTACAATGCAGTTAATCCCAAAACACAGTGAAATTTAAGAGTGCCCACACTGAGTACATAATAGTGAAAGAAAGTAGTGGAGTATCTTAAATAACTCAATTTGAGTAAGAACTTGACTCTCAGTCTTAATATTTTGTATATAATGTGGCAGCTTTGATAGTTTTTTATTAATCTGGAAACTGTGGACAAGATGGGTTGAGCTGAGGAGAACAATCGAGAAGCTGAAGGATCCCTAAGAAGTCTATTGACAGAACTGGAGACAGAAATGGTAAGAGGAGAAACAAAGTAGAATCAGTGGGATTGAATACTAAGGGAGATTCTGCACAGAGGTGTCCATCACTGATAGACTTGGGGAGCCACAGAAAGGGAGGAGCAGTTATGACTTGGAGAAGTGATCCTGACTGGTCAGATAGTGAGTTCGAAAACATTCCTGGAAGCAACATGGATTGACATTTGAAAAGCACCTCAGGAAGTGGGAGAATCTGGATAAGTGACACTGCCTGCTCCACTTCCAGATTTGTCTTCACACAGTGGGAGACAAGGCCATAACTCTCATAAATTATCTGCTTTTCCTCCAAAGAGGCAGACTAACTAGTGATGGGCTGAAAAACAGGGCAAATGTCCTCTAATGTAGATAAAATTGAAGAAGGTGCTAGAGTGACTGGGCCTCAGCTTTATTTAATCCTTTTGTTACCAAAGCAAATTTGGGTCTGCTTGCCCACAAGCAGTAAAGCCAAGCTACTGACAGAGGGTTAACATGAAGGAAAGTGAAGTGTGCCAGGCAGGAAGTCCAAGAAGCTAGTGCTTAAAAGGCCCCAAACTCCCTAAAGCCTTTCAGGGAATACTTTTAAAGATAGAGTGAGGGATGTGGTTGTCAAAAGTATGATCAGCTCAGGGACATTCTTCTGATAAGTTGGTGGTGTGGCAACCAGGAATCAACATCATCAACCTTCTGCTTCCAACCAGTCTGGAGTCTACATGCTTGTGGGCAGCATATAGTTAACTTCTTCCGCCTGATGGGGGTTTGAGTATCTGAATAATAGCTCAAAGGATATGGCTCAGATTATTATCTATAGCCTTTGAGGAGGAATTAAGGTCCTTGACTTTTTTTAGTGGCTTAACTCTTATTTTGTCTTCTTTGACTGTTTTCCTTTCTGTATCTTCTCACTTCTCTGATTAAATTTACTTTTTGGAACTCCGGGAAGGCTTAGAAGGCTAAATTTTTCCACATAAAAGAGGCAGGAGGACTTGGAAGGTGATGGGGCCTGTTCCGGGAAGGCCACATAGGGGTCTTGCTTGGTTACACTTTTGTGTATGTGAATTCATTTAATTGCACAACCGGGGAGACTTAATTATCTTCAGTTTTATGGATAAAGAAAAGATTCCAAGAGATTGAATAACTTGCTAAAACTCTCGTTGGTTAGGTGAGAATGAATGAACAGGAATTCCAACATGTTCCTGGAAGCTTTAACAGGCCAAGGGGATGAGGATGCTAGAATGCACATGGTCTGGAGTCATGAGCCTGTTTATAGAGCAAGGAAGGTTCTGTTTGAAGCACTGGGCTTGAAGAAGCATTAGTTTCCTCAGACATAGCCATACAAAGCATAGAGACTAGGTGGGCTAACCAAGAGAAGTTTATTTTCTCAAAGTTCTGGAGGCTGGAAGTTCAAAATCAGGTATCAGCAGAGTTTGGTTCCTTCTGAGGTCTCTCTTTAGTTTGCTTGTAAATGATCATCATCTTCCTTTGTCTTCATAGGGTCTTTCTTCTGTGACTGTCTGTGTCCTAATCTCTTCTAACAAGGTAAGCAGTCAGATTAGATTAGGCTATCCTAACGACCTCGTTTTAACTTATTTACCCCTTTAAAGACCCTATCTCCAAAGACATTTATATTCTAATGTCTGAGAACTTCAACATATGAGTTCTGGGGATGACTCAATTCAGCTCATAATAGGAGTGTACCAGTCAAGGAATCCCTCCTGGCAGGAAAATGCTAGAAGAGGAAGTTAATGGGACCCTAAAAGATAATTCTCAGCCTCCACTTCACAGAGCTACTGAATGATGCCCTGGCTGCCTTCACTGTCATCCAAACTGTTGGAATAATTGTTATTTAGAACCTGAGACAAGTGTGTTCCTCTTTGATTCTTAACATAACCTCTTCTCTTCAAGTTAATTCATCCTTCAATCAAGAGTGGTTTTCCCTGTTTCATACAGCAGAGTTCTGTCCGGTCTCAGCTACTAAGTTGCCAGACCTATGATGGGAATCATGCAGTAGGAGAGTGCTATGGATTGAATTGCATCTCCTCAAAAATCAAATGCAGGAGATGAGATGTTATTTAGAGGTGGGAACTTCGGAAGATAATTAGGTTTAGATCAGGTCATGAGGGTGGGACCCTGGTGATGGGATTAGTGTCTCTAATAAAATATACCAGAGAACTTGCTGTCTCTGCCTTATGAGGACACAGTGAGGAACTGGCCATCTACAAGCTGGGAAGAGAGTCTTCACTGAAAACTGACCATGCTGGTACCTTGACCTTTAACATCCAGACTCCAGAAAATTAATTTTTGTCACTTAAGACAGCCAGTCAATGTTCTTTTGTGTGGCCACCACAGCAGACTAAGACGGGGTGGAGGAGGAGTTATTACACAGCCCGTCTCTCCCTGCCTCAGTCCCCGTGGCTGTCCTTGCCCTTGCCTACACATTTCTACACCTGTCTCTTTCTTTCCAGATCTGCCCCACTGAATTTGTTTTCAAGGGTTGCTGTAACGAATGACCACAAACCTGGTGGGATAAAAGTTATTTTCTCGCAGTTCTGAGGAAGTGTGAAATCAAGGTGTCAGCAGGACCACACTCTCCCTGAAGGTTCTAGAAGAGAATTCTTCCTGCCTCTTCTGGCTTCTGGCAGTTCCTTGGCCTTGGCAGTATCCCTCCAATTCTCTGCCTGCATCTCCACATGACTATATTCTCTACGTGTTTCAAATCTTCTTCTCCTTTCTCTTACAAGGATTCCTATCAGTCATTGGGGATTTAGGCTCCCTATATCCAGGATGATCTCAGCTTGAGATTTTTAACATAGTTACACCTGTAAAGGCTCTATTTTCTAAATAAGGTCATATCCACAGGTTCTATAAGTTAAGACTTGGATATATCTTTTGAGGACCACTTTTCTGTCCACCATTCCCACATGCCTCCTCCCTACCATCGCTCACCTTCACATTGCTACTGTCCTCCTTTCTCTTCTCAGGCCTTGGCCACAGAACCCTGGGCTGGATTAAAACCAAATGTTGCTGAATCAGACATTTCATCTTGTTCCTACCTCAGGATCCTAAGTGCTTAGGGAGAACAACTTTTTCAGCCTCCAAGTAGAAACAAGAGCCGTCTTATAAAGAACCTGCTAACCGGGAAGAAAATAGTTTACCCATTACTGAGTGTATTTATACAAAGGATATTTACCCAACTGGCAACGTCACAATTCTTCAGACAAGCCCCAACAGCCAGTTGTGGCTTGTTAAGGATTCATTGATTTGGGGTGGCCCAGATTTCATTGTCACCTATATTATGATGAGTGTGGGCCAAATTCCAAGTGCCTTAGGCTGCGTTTAGAGCCCAAGGAAGGAGAGAGTTAAACAGTCCCCTACCCAGAATCTGAAGTCTTTATTCATATGGTCCAACACTACTTTTCCCCGCTGAATAAAACATTCTGTTCCCAGGAGCAAGCCCAGTCCCAGCTGGTACCTTTCCCAATATCCCCACAGGTCTCCTGGCAACCTCTCAGCAAAGAACCGTCAGGGTCCGCCAAGAATCCAGCTCCAGGATTCTTACTCCGCCCCGTCATGGGACTGGGGGGAGGGGGCCGTGGTTCTTCTTATGCTGCCTTGTCCATGAGTCCTTGATCACTGTGCCCGCCACTGGAATCCAGCAGATGGCCTGTGAAGAAACAGACACAGCCTGGAGAAGAAACAGATACGACTCATCCAAATTCTTCATCTGCAAACTGCTTAAAGTAGAAGGTTCACTTTTGGCTCAGTAACCACCATTTCAGGCAGTTCTTATGCCAAGGGGGGACTTTCAAGTCTTTCCATCCCCCAACCCTACTTTTTCATTATAGTCAGAAAACTTTTTTTTTTTTAGGCAAAGTACTAAAAAGAGCAATGGCTGTTCTTTTAGATGGGCACCAAAATGTTTCATCGTGGGAGTTTTTCCCTCATACAGCATCATTTTAAATTTGGCAGCTTTAAGGATTAGCTCACTGTTTTACTCCTTGATTAAATTCTGATATATTCTTAGAGTTACTTAGACCCAAGAGTAGTGTCTGATACTCTGAAAACTAGCAGGGGTTGCTTGACACACACCCCCATTCCAATTCTGCATTGAAAGTGAGGGTCCTAGTCATGCAGATCCCACCCACCCCTGTCCCTTGCCCCACTTAACTCCAAATAAGAGGGGAGGCCATTTCAATGGAAATGTGGTGGGCAGCAAGGAGACAACGGAATTGTCCCAAATGTGGACAAGAGACACACAGATGGGTTGGTAAATGACTTCAGGTGTTATGGCTTTATGGAAATGTATGTAAGCACAAACACATTTTCTCTTCTCCCTCACAATACCCCATTAAAGTGACAGAAAAGAAATTAAAAAGACATCAACCCACAAAGGCAAAGAGAGCATGAAAGGAGTTAGAGCAGAAAGAGGTCAGCTAAACTTCCGAAAGCAGTGATCAGAGCTAGTGGTGATTAATTGAACAGACAGGAGGAGGCAGAGAGCCAGGGCTGCAGGGGTTGGGCCGGGGGCTTAGGGCAGGTTCACACCTCAGAACCCAGGAGGTCTCAGGGAGTAGAAGCATCTGGTGATTCTCACGCGGAGGTCCCAGTGAGCTGAGAACAAGAGGATTCAATGAAAATGGACAAAAGTGTCATGAGTCCCTTTGCCCACTCCTCACAGCATGGGACCACCCCTCCCTCAACCATGAGGAGAATCACTGTTTAGAGATGATATAGCAAAGAGAGTCTAGGCCCAGGTATAAACAGAGCATGAGGCAAAAGTCAAGTCCTTGTCCTCACTTGGCTTCCAACTCTGAAATTCAGGCATAGGCCCTCCTCTCCACCACATCCCACAGCAGGAAATCAGAGAATGCCTCTCTGGGGAAAACACTGATGAACTGTAGCCTTGATGTATTGACATTCGAGGGTTTCTCCCTGGAATAGCCAGCTACTCTCTGGGCAACCCCACCAAAAGCAAACCCTTCCATGCAGAGTTTCTCTTGGTGTTGTAATACTTTATCACTCTTAAATATGTAAGAACTCAAGGATTAGCAGAAACTGGAGGAAAGTCTTTGTGAAGAATAATAGAAAAAAAAAAAGAAAGAAAGAAAAGGAAAGAGATAATGTAGAAATCAAGATATCTTTTTAATAACTGTAACCCATTTTTTAAATGAAGAAAAAGGAGATATTGCATCCATAAAGCATGATCAAGTTGTCATATAAAGGGGAATATATACAAATATAAATAGCCTGAATTTTTAAAACTATTATAAAAGTTGAAGAAATTTATTTTTTTTAAATGAAGAACATATAAACAAGGGATTGAAAAATGAGAGAAAATACAAGAAAACTAGTACACCTAATTTGAGAGCTTGACTTTCTTCACTCTGAATGAAGAAAATTACCAGAGAAATAGAATTTTCCAGAACTGAAGGACCTAAGTTTCCTGACTGAAAAGGCCCACCAATAGCCTGCCACAATAATTGAAATAACAGTAAACAAAGCACATCAAAGCAGGTCACCTTAAAATTTCAGAATACTGGGGAAAGTGAGGAGATTCCAGTATGTTCTAGAGAGAAAACCAGGCACACACAGTGGACCAGGAATCAGAATGGCACTAGACTTTTCAGCAGCCAGAAGAGTAAGGCCTTCAAAATGATTTTCAGCATAGAATCTTTAAGTTGAAAACATCATCCCAAAACATCAATCAAAATATGAAAGTAAAATAAATAGTTTTTCAGACAAGCCAGTCTCAAAAAAAGAAAGAAAGAAAGGAACTATTAGAGGTTGTAATTAACCAAAGCAAAGAAATACACCAAGAATAAGAAAGATATGGGATCCAGGTAACAGGATATCCAACACAGATGAGAATTCGTAGAGTGGTGGATAAGATCTCCAGACTGATGACAGAGACTCTACAACTGGCCTAAGAAAGTACCAGTCCAGTACTGGAAGTAGAAAAAGAAAAGCTTGGGGGGACAAAAATCTATGGGAAAATGAGGATGAAGTAAAATGCTTGATAGACTGAAATAGAAATCTCTAGAAGGATGTTAACCAAGAAAAACATGAATCACATAGACTACTTGATATGTTGAAATGTTTTAGGAAGTTTATACTCTGGCAAAGATTTTGAGGATATACAATAAAGGATGGGTACTTTACAAAATTGGGAAAATTTGGGGGAAATATTAATTCCCAGGGAAACAAAACAGTAAAAGTAAAAGAAAATAGTTACAGTATACTACACAACATAGTTGTTTATACAATCATGATGCTGGAAAATAGAATTTTGGTTTAATCAAAAATTAATCTATAGGATTAGCTATTTTGGGAGAATGTAAGGAGGGGTATGAAAGGAATTAAACTTATGAAAGGAGTTAAACTTCACATTCTAGATGTGCTGTGCTTAGTCGGTGCATCGTGTCTGACTCTTTGTGACCCCATAGACTGCAGTCCACCATCCTCCTCTGTCCATGGGATTTTCCAGGCAAGAATACTGGAGTGGGTTGCCTCCAGGGGATTCTATAGTTATAAGTTAATAAGATGGTGTCTATTATGACTGAATGTTTGTTTTCCCCCGAAACTCATATTTGGAAACACTAACCACCATGTGATTATGTCAGGAGGTGTGGCCTTTGGGAAATAATTAGATGAGGTTATGAAGGAAGAGCCCTCATAAATGTGATTAGTGCCCCTGAAGAGTCAGGCTTTAGCTTGTTTCCTCTCTCTGCTCTCCTCCACTCATGAACACAATGAGAAGGTGGCATTCTGCAGCCCACAAAAGGGTCCTTCCAGAACCCAACCATGCTGGTGACCTGGTCTCAGACTTCAAGGCTCCGGAAGTATGAGAAATAAACTTGTGTTGTTCATAAACTACCCAAACTATGATACTTTGTTATAGCAACCTGAATGGGCTAAGACAATGTCTAAACTGTACGATAAAAAAATAGCAAGTAAGCTTATTAGTTTACAACGTGAAGATAAGAACCAAAAAACAAAAAGAACTAAAAGAGTTAAATATTTGCCACAGGAGTAGAAACTGGGATAGGTGAGGCGGGGTGGGCAAAGATTGCTTTGATTTTTTGTTGTTGTTGTAAAACTGTTTCACTTTTAAAACTATGCACATGTGTTGACAAAAATGAAAATTAAATGAAAAATGTTTGTTGACGGTCTGTGGCTCTTACAGTAAAAAATTAAATTAGTGTAAAAAAGTCCTTACTAAGTACGTGCTCGTACATAGCAAGTTTTAGCCTTCATAAAAATTATTTACACTAAACTGCTCTTTAGAAAATATGTTTTTATATACATTATCAATTTTCTTCAAAACACCATAACAGAGCTTCCTCTGTGCTCTGTCACTGCAGTGGAGGCTGGAGGTGCAAAGATGATAAAGCTCTGTCTTCACACCTACAGGAAGACCCCACGGTCTGGCAGCGTAGCCCAACCCTGTGGCATGTGCCATGCTGGGAAGAAGCCCACGGTGCTGTGGAAGACGCACACATCCTGGGGCAGCCATTTAGACTTTAATGCTGCTTGTGTTTCTGAAGCCAGGGCACATTATGAACCGTACCCGAATGAGACAGACTTTACTGTCCACTTTAGTTCGATTTGTCACGTTTTTTCACACCTAATACGTGTACATAATCCCTTATGACTATACAGTGGAAATATGAAATAGATTTAAGGGACTAGATCATCGACAGAGTGCCTGATGAACTATGGACGGAGGTTCGTCACATTGTACAGGAGGCAGGGAGCAAGACCATCCTCATGGAAAAGAAATGCAAAAAAGCAAAATGGCTGTCTGAGGAGGCCTTAAAAGTAGCTGTGAAAAGAAGAGAAGTGAAAAGCAAAGGAGAAAAAGAAAGATATAAGTATCTGCGTGCAGGGTTCCAAAGACTAGCAAGGAGAGATAAGAAAGCCTTCCTCAGTGATCAATGCAAAGAAACAGAGGAAAACAATAGAATGGGAAAGACTAGAGATCTCTTCAAGAAAATTAGAGATACCAAGGNCACTTACACATCAAGGAATATTCAGATTCATGTCTGCAGAATCATTCAATAATGTATTTGAAGTCTACCATGTGTAAACACACTATTTTTTTCTTCTAGATTGTCTAGACTGTTAAAACCCAAGTTAGAAAGGTCCCAAAAGTTGCTAATGATAATCCAAATCTTGCCCCAGGTGCAACAGCCTTGCAGGCAAATTCTCCAGTATAATCAGCAAATGTTACAAAGGGGCCACATCTGGTTCCTTTGTATTTATTTCATCAGACAGACCAAAATTTGAATAGGAAATAGAAACCAAACCTCCAACTCCATCTCAGATGGTCCCCTAATTTCTGACCAAAGGATATTCATTAGAAGCTGCAGAAATGTCACTACTGCTTACGTCAGCCTTCTCTTAGACTGGTATATTCATCTCTGCTTTGAAGTTATTCCCCCCCCCAAAAAAAAATTATAACCAACTTTAACTTTTGAATGGAATTTTTTTTTTCTTTTACAGTTTGTTTTGTGGGACTAGGGACTCTTACAAGCAGTTCTATGGAAGTTCTAAAGTTTATTCAATCGCTTCTCCTTTGGGAACTCCATCTTCATGCAGGGTGGTCGGAGGGAGGGGGGCACTCTGTCCATCACAGCCCCTCCTCCACCAGGCAGTGAACACAGT